GGTAGTGAACATAGCTCTGTATGTTAAGGCGTAAGATCCACAGATCTGAAGTAACAACAACGTTCAATTATAATAAGCAATAGATACGTGCATAATAATATATGTATAAATGTAAATATACCATTGAACTAGGTAATATATACGTATATCTGTATATACACCATTGAACTAGGTAATATATACGTATATATGTATATATACCATTGAAATAGTAATATATATATATATATATATATATATATATATATGTATATATACCATTGAACTAGGTAATATATATGTGTATATAGAAATATACCTTTGAATTATGCAATATATAGGTATATCTGAATATACACCATTGAACCAGCGCAGTATGTGCGGGGGAGGCCATGACTTACCTGTATCTTCGCCAATGCCGCGTCAATCATGTCCACCAGTTGTTGTACCATGTCTTCAGTAGCCTCGGTTATGCCCTGACGAACCACCGCCACCAAAGGAAATCCAGTGAGAAGTAGTCGATTATGAAGCATAATCCAATCAAATAAAACCCATTCAAATAGAACCCAATCAAATATAACCTAATCGAATAGAACCCAATCGAATAGAACCCAATCAATTAGAAACCAATCAAATAGAAACCAATCAAATATAACCCAATCAAATAGAAACCAATCAAATAGAACCCAATCAAATAGTAACCAATCAAATAGAACCCAATCAAATAGAACCCAATCAAATAGTAACCAATCAAATAGAACCCAATCAAATAAAACCCAATCGAATAGAACCCAATCGAATATAACCCAATCAAATAAAACCCAATCGAATAGAACCCAATCGAATATAACCCAATCAAATATAACCCAATCAAATAGAAACCATTCAAATAGAACCCAATCAAATAGAAACCAATCAAATAGAACCCAATCAAATAAAACCCAATCGAATAGAACTCAATCAAATAGAAACCATTCAAATAGAACCCAATCAAATAGAAACCAATCAAATAGAACCCAATCAAATAAAACCCAATCGAATAGAACTCAATCAAATAGAAACCATTCAAATATAACCCAAACAAATAGAAACCAATCAAATAGAACCCAATTAATTAGAACCCAATCAAATAGAACCCAATCAAATAGAACCCAATCAAATAGAACCCTAAAACAACTCAATACACCACCATGGCAACTGAATACGTCACCATGGTAACTGATCTGTATGTCACAACTAGTGCTAAGTAGCCACTACAACTAACTACACCACCATGGCAACTGAATATAACACCATGGTAACTGATGTGTATGTCACAACTGGTGCTAAGTAGCCACTACAACTAAATACACCACCATGGCAACTGAATACAACACCATGGTGACTGATGTGTATGTCACAACTAGTGCTAAGTAGCCACTACAACTCAATACACCA